GAAGAAGTTGCGTATGGTTTTGTTGTCCTTATGAAACGTGGGGTTGTTCCTCAGATTTTTTTCTACCTTCCACAACTAAAATGAAATTTGTCACCTTGTTGAATTTTTGTGCGTAAATAAGAAAAATTTGGCTTTGATCAGAGAAGGAAAAGAATCATTGTAACTTTTCTAGTCCCAAAATTGAAGAAATAAAGAGTCATTGTGGAAGGTGCGTGTCCAGCTTCGCCGACTCACGTTTAATGTGTGGACACTCTACACAGAGTGTTATTATATATTTTTTAATTAAAAACTAACTTAAAACCAAACAAACGGCAAATATTTTGAGTGAGTTAAATTGTGACTATTTTGAAAACCCATTTTAGTCTAAAGGGAAACAAAAGAGCAAGTACTTCAGTTTCTAGGATCACTAATCCAATCGATTAAAAGACTTTGAAATCAGTTTCTTCTTCACTAATCATTCCAATGCTGCATTTGCGAGTTTGCCGGCGAAACTTTGTTTCTTGCTCTTCAATTGCAACTCTTGAACAAGCAATGCCTTCCATTCATCGCTCAGCTCTTTCCTTTCCTTACTCCCAAGGGTCCTCAACTTCTGAAGCATCATTTTCTCTGCATACCTACTTGAATGCTGAAACATTGTCGTCTCAAGTGCGTCCTTTAGAGCACACACCTCATCTTCAGCACCATCTTCTTCATTCCCCTTCCCGCCAGTTTCGTTGTCCATGTGTTTGTCAACATTGTCACTAGGCAGTTTGTCGTCATCATTCTCCTCAGGATTGCCGTTTGTCAGTGCTTCATCTTCCTCACTCTCCTTTTCACCAGCCTCGTTCTCCACACACTTGTCAACTTTTTCATAAGGAAATTTGACGTCACAGGAGTCGTCTTTCCCTGATCCACTGGGTTCACCGTTTGTCCCTGCCTGAACCTCTTAGGGAGAAAAACAGTATTGACATACATATTACAACTCATGACCCAATCTGTCGCTTGCACATGAGCAAATATAACTTTCAATGCGTCTATCAGAGGATGTATGAGGTAAGTTAAAGTATAAGGAGATGGTGAAACACTGGCTTACCTTGCTCTTGAGTTTATCTTTTCCCCATATTGCCATTGACAAGTCAAAAATCTTAGAGTCATGGGACTTAGTAAAGCGAGGATTTTTTGCCGAATTATCTCTGAATTTCGTCTTTAACTTTCTGATCTTACACAGGAGCTGAACCTTGGAGAAGTTGGATGATATCATACCATCTTTGAGATAATCGAAAAATGCACCAGAATCAGAAATGTAGTCCATTCCTGTCTCGTTCCGGTAGTCAACAATGCCCTTTTCACAGAGAGAGTTAAAGCAAAAAACTAGTAATCAAAAACCCTATCCAGATCAAGAACAAAACCAGTAGCTATTACCAATTTGAGCAAAGTAGAAACCTTTAGTATGCTTAGCTCGTCACTTTCACTCCAGATCATCTTTGGACTTAGACCCAAATAATTTGCCTGTGTAGCCTTACGCTTCTTCCTACTCATCGACATGTTCGATGATTCCGGAGCAATGTGCTTCGCAGGCGATTTGACGGCAATAGACGGCGGCGTAATTTCGTCGTCAGATGTATCGGAATCACTGAAATCATATCGGGAAGGAAACCGCTTCTTATCACCCATCATCCTAGAGAGACCTGATTCAAAGATATAGCACCCAAAATACACAATCAATTTCCACAAATTCGTCTCCATATTACATATTCGTCTTCAAGTTACGATTATCAAAACGAAGGAAGCTCGAATTATACATAAAGATGAAAACTTACTTCGTTGAAAGCTTCCAAGTTTTCGGAGATTGGGGGTTTAGAGAGAAACCCTAGCTTCTTCTGAAACTTCTTCTCCTCGTGAAGCTTTAAAGTTGGACCGTTCGACTCATAAAGGGACTAACTTTTAGAAAAAAATTATACACAATATTTGATTTTTATATCGATAATCGATGGATAATTCATAATTAGCCTAAACTCTTCTTCATTAGTGTAAAATGATTTTTAAAAAATTAACAAAAAAGTATTATAGCAGTAGCCAACATACACCACACAAAGGGAGAAGAAAGGCAGAAACTTGATCAAAGAAGATCTATGGCTACAACCACTAGTCACCTCTCCGGCCACTTTTACCGACCAATTCTCACCGTCGTTGGAAGTAATCGCCGGCAACTACATGTAACCACTCGTTTCCTCTCTGTTCGACGGCGCAACGGGCTCCAGCGACGACTGAGTATGAGTCTTCGAGTGAGCAACGAAATGACGTCGACGGTGGACATGAAAAAGCTCGTTGATTTCTTATACAAGGATCTTCCTCACCTTTTCGAGGACCAAGGAATCGATCGGACAGCTTACGATGATCGTGTCAGATTCAGAGACCCAATCACTAAACACGACACTATAACTGGATATCTCTTAAACATTTCTCTCTTGAAGAATCTATTCACTCCTCAGTTTCAACTTCACTGGGCAAAACAGGTCTCTTTAATCTCCACCTTCAAGTACAACACTTTATTAATACTCTTCTTGAGAAATGATTTTATAAAAGATTAATTTTTTTACTTGTGTTCAAGTTCTTGCAATTTGAATGGTAAGACTGATGCAACTGCTAATAGACAGGTCCATACGAGATAACAACAAGATGGACTATGGTAATGAAGTTTTTGCTTTTACCATGGAAACCAGAGCTTGTGTTCACAGGGACATCAATCATGCTTGTTAATCCAGAAACTAAGAAATTTTGCAGCCATCTGGTAATAGTTTTGGCATGTCTTTTTCCCTTTCTTGTGAAATCTCTATACTTTATTACAACTTTTGATGGTGCAGGACTTGTGGGACTCTATCAATAACAATGATTATTTTTCCCTAGAAGGTCTTGTTGATGTATTTAAGCAGGTTACTTGTCTCATTTGCTTTCTTAGCAACGAATCAAGCTTCCGTTAATAGTGAGTTCATAGTTTTACTTTTCTTTGCACAGTTACGGGTATATAAAACGCCTGACTTGGAGACTCCAAAGTATCAAATACTGAAAAGAACAGCAAACTATGAGGTTACATATCTTCCTGTTAGTTAAAATTGTATTGGCTTAATGCGCGGATATGCAGAAATTGTTCTTGTAGAAATGGCAAATGTGATGCCTCGGTCTGAAATTCGATCTAATCGTTTGTCAGGTCAGAAAGTATGAGCCTTTCATAGTAGTGGAGACAAACGGTGACAAGCTTTCTGGCTCTTCAGGTTTCAACAATGTTGCTGGGTGAGGTTTAAGGCAATTTTTGTTCCATAAAAAAAAATTCTTTTGGCATTTCTGTGATTAATGTAACAAAATGGTCACCTATGAAAGCTACATATTTGGGAAGAACTCGACGATGGAGAAAATACCAATGACAACTCCAGTGTTTACTCACGCAACAGATGCTCAACTCTCTGATGTGTCAGTACAAATTGTCATTCCATCAGGAAAAGATCTCAGCAGGTAAAGCTAAAATCATGGATAGTTTAGTCGACGTTACGGTGATTAGACTGATTGAGTAAAAATGATTCTTTTGCTTGTGCCTATTATAGCTTACCAATGCCTAATGAAGAGAAAATAAACTTGAAGAAGTTGGAAGGTGGTTTTGCTGCGGTAGTGAAATTCAGTGGGAAACCGACAGAGGAAGTTGTACGCGCAAAAGAGAATGAACTGAGGAACAGTCTGAGTAAAGATGGTCTTAAAGCTAAGATGGGTTGTATGCTTGCTCGTTACAATGATCCAGGACAAACATGGAGCTTCATATTGGTATGATTCCAAGCTTTAGCAAGTTTAATCTTTTAGCATGTGCAACGAGAGCATTCATACTAATCCCCTGATTCAATTTTGTGTGTGTGATTCCCTTGCATTTTGCAGAGGAACGAAGTTATCATATGGCTTGAGGAATTCAGTCTGGATTAGTTAGCTCTCTGGTTTGGCCATAAGACTACACATGGAGAGAGAGAGACTTATGTAGAGTTTCCGTGACCATTTGTAAGATCCGACGATAGAGTAGTTGTATAGAGACAAAGCTACAACACTGAAATTGGTCATTATTTGTGTGGACAAGTCAAGATTTTTAATAGTACAATACTACAAACTTTATTTCCTTTGCAGATACTGCAATTTCCATGCCGTTTTCAGTTTGTCTCATTCGTCCATGCCGTTTAAAATAAAATTTGGTACATAGATTTTCAATAAAAGAATATTTGAGTTACCAAATTTTTTACAAAAAAAAGATTCCTTTTCACTCTATTTGGTCCTTAAATAGAGACAGACACCAAGAGAAAGAGGAGAAATCGAACACGAACAATCTAATTGGTCCTATCGAGTCGTTTCTTGTTCAGTGTTGAGTACAGAGCAGCCATGGCAGCGGAAGGCAAATGGGTTCAGGTTTAAAATCTCTTTCTTCTATCTTTTCTCCATGAGATTTAGAGACGAATCTGGGTTTCCCCAACTTAGATTCCTCCGATCAAAACCGCTCATAGAGAGACTGATTTTCGATTGTCTTTTAAAGTTTTTTAATTTCGTTTTGCTGACTGATTCTCTTGAGTTTTGTTGAAGTTGTTCACCGTAAATTGCTCATGTGATTATATAATCTCTTCTCAATCTGTTGATTGTCAGTTTGATTCTACAATTACGTTTATGCTTTCTCTAATCAATATTGGGTTTGTGGACAATGACTTTTGTTTGTTTCTGATTTTTTATTTCAGCTAATACTTATTGTAATGATGATTATTAATAAAAAAAAACATTCTCTTGATTGGTAACTACAGATTGGGGGTTTAATTTCTTTAAATTTAAGTATCTGAAGAATTCATCTTTGTGTTGTTGTTGTCTTCTCTGTTTTCTTTGTGATCAGCTTAAACAGAAAGGAACCGGACCAGGAGCAAGAAGCTCACATGCCATAGCTCTTGTGGGTAACAAAGTGTATGCCTTTGGTGGCGAGTTCGAACCTCGTGTTCCCGTTGACAACAATCTCTACGTTTTCGACCTCCACACTTTAACATGGTCGATTCAAGAAGCTTCAGGTGATGCTCCTCCACCTAGAGTAGGTGTAGCCATGGCTGCAGTGGGAACCATCATCTATTTCTTTGGTGGCCGGGACGCGACTCACCAGGAGCTCAACGAGCTCTACTGTTTCGACACTTCTACCAACCAGTGGAAGCTACTGTCCTCAGGGGAAACCGGTCCACAAAACCGAAGCTACCACTCGATTACTGCAGATTCTCAGAACGTGTATGTGTTTGGTGGGTGTGGAGTTGATGGGCGTCTCAACGATCTATGGGCTTACAATGTTGTTGATCAGAAATGGATTGAGTTCCCGTCTCCTGGAGAAGCCTGTAGAGGAAGAGGTGGTCCAGGGCTAGAGGTAGTTGATGGTAAGATATGGGTTGTATATGGATTCGCAGGAGAAGAAGCGGATGATGTTTTCTGTTTCGACATAGCGAAAGGAGAATGGAAAGAAGTCGAGACAAAAGGCGAGAAACCGTCACCAAGAAGTGTGTTTTCGACTGCGGTTGTTGGGAAACAGATATTAATATCTGGAGGTGAGATTGATCCGAGCGATTTGGGCCATATGGGAGCTGGATGTTTTACAGGCGAAGCTTACGGGCTCGATACAGAGACGTTCGAATGGAGGAAATGGGAGGATAAGGCTGGATCAGAGGAGCATCCCGGGCCTAGAGGATGGTGCGCGTTTGCGGCTGGGTCACGGGATGGTAAGGAAGGCTTGTTGGTTTATGGAGGGAACTCGCCGAGCAATGATAGGCTTGATGATATCTTCTTCTTCACTCCTAACTAAACTCAAGTGATTGGTAACTAAGTGTGTGGTTTGGGTTTTTCTTGCTGAATCAAATCTTTTGATTATGTGAAAGCCATGAATCTGGTGATGAGACTTGTGTGAAGTTGTTCTTGTGTTTCTCTTTTGGATTGGGTAAAGTTTATGTTTGTTTATCTACGTCTTTGTAAATCAAGATTCTCAGTAAACAACATTAATAAAGACATCTTTTTTTTTTTTTTTCTGTGTCTAAAACTCTAAATGGGTCAGCCATTGAGAATAGGTTTTACACTGATGATTTTATTCACGAAGAAAACAATATTATCAAAATCTTGCAATTCAGAAAACGGCCCATAAAGCCCAACAAACAATATTTTACATTAACCTAATGCGTTATCTTCTTCTACAAGAAAATCTAAACCTAGGGCGATCACTTCCCGATGATTTGCTATTGAGCTGCCTCGCACGCGTATCAAGGTTATACTATCCGACTCTCTCACTCGTCTCCAAGAGCTTTCGATCTCTTCTTGCTTCACCGGAGCTTCACAAGGCTCGTTCACTCTTGGGGCATTTAGAGAGTTGTCTCTATGTGTGCATAGATTACCATTCTGATTGGAACCCTAAGTGGTTCACCCTCAGCCGGAAACCTGATCAAACCCTAACCAATGACACCAGTAAGAAGGTGAAGTCAAGTGGGTATGTTTTGGCTAAGGTCCCCATGCCACATTCTCCTCCAGTAGACTTTTCAGGTGGGGGTCTAGTGGCGATTGGTTCGAGTATCTATAACATTGGTGGATCCAGATCCTCTAGTAGCGTATCTATTTTGGATTTCACGTCTCACGTGTGGCGCGAGGCTCCAAGATTGCTAGCGTCGTTGATCACAAGATATATGTAGCAGGATGGTACAACGATGGTGATCCCCATTCCTCCAAGGACTCGATCCAAGTGTTGGACCCAAAAACCCAAATTTGGGATCTTGTGCCCATCCCTTGTACCGAGAGATACTGCAGTTTTTACTCCCAAAGCGCATGTGTTGACCGGAAGTTCCACTTGAAGACTGGCACAAAGCTTGTTGCTCACAATTCAAAGGAAGGTAGATGGGACCTGGTTGAACGAGGGAATTATCATTATATGACGTCATATCCTTATTGCCAGATATAGAATGTTATGTACTCTGTTTCTGTTTCTGTTTCTGGTAGAGCTTTCACATGGTATGACACTGAGGCAAGCATGTGGAGATATTTGATGGGTTTGGAAGGGCTACCTAAATTCCCTCGTGATGCTCGTGTTAGCTTGGCGGATTATGGTGGAAAGATGGCGGTTTTGTGGGACAAGAGATTGCCTCGTAGAGGTGACCATCAGACGATGATTTGGTGTGCAGAGATTGCGCTTGAAAGGGTCAAAGGTTATGAAATTTGGGAGAAAGTTGAGTGGTTTGATCATGTGCTTACAATCCCTGGGAGATGTGATGTCGTCAAGGTTCTTGCAGCTACTTTTTGATGAATGAACGTGTCACAAGGCTTTAACGTGTCTCTTTTTTGGAATGAGTTTCTTTTTTTTGGGTGTGGTGTCTGTAACTATGATTAATTTCTTCGAAGCACGTTCTGTACGTTGAACAGACTGATTTCTCTTTACATTCATGAAAGCAACACACTTTGAGATAAAGATTTTACACTTAGAAGAAGAGTAAATTACTTGTGCTAAAGAGATAACCAATCGTGTGCTGAATTTGGATATGAATGAAGAAACATTTTGGGGCTTATTGATGATT